ACACACACACACACACACACACACACACACACACACACACACAGGACAGTGAGTTCAAATCAATTTCACCAGACTACTTGACATTTCAGACATTTGAGAACAGTTCAACATTTTGGCAAATAAGCTAATGAGAAGATTGATTAGCAAATATGAGCAGCTGATTATCTTAGATTAGCATAAATACTGAAAACAGAGGGACAGCTAGCCAGGCTCTGTCTTCATATAGAAAAATTGTCCCAATTCTAAGGCCCATTCATTTCGTTTCCTGAGTTGATCCAGTTACAGGCACCTGAGCCAAGACTCCAGGAAGTCAAGAAGTAATCCAATATTTTGATTTTAACATTTCGACATTTGTCAGAAAGAAAAATTTGATAGAATATGTTAATGAGCTTTAAATCCTAAGAAGTTTCTCAAGAAAAATGATTCCAGCTTCACAAACGTTAGAATCTGCTCCTCCTCTGCATCTGTATCACTTCATATTGAATACATTTGGTTTCTTCCAGAGATAAAATACTTGTTTCCTGTGTTTACCTCTGATGACCTCTCCTCCTGTGTGGGACTGGCTCTGCAGGAATGACAGCAGCACAGACGGCTGGTATGTACAGTCCACGCAGGCCTGAACCGCTTGCTGAAGCACGGCATTGACTGGAGCTGGGCCGAAGTGATCCGGCAGCTGCTGCACCAGTTTTCGGTCGAGGTTCGGGCCGTAGTCACCGTGCTTGTTCACGTAGACACAAACTAGGACATCGTACAGAGAGAGAAGCATCAGCAAAGAAGCAAAGACTTTTCAAACGATTTGAGTTGAAGTGTTGAATCCATGAGAACACGAGTGCACATTGAAGCCTCTGATTTACCTGTGCAAACTACATTTGAGCTGTTGCTATGGTTGTTGTTGTCGGCTGAGGCGTGGCTGGAGCTCAGTCTGGTCTCTGGAGGCGGAGCTGTGACTGATGACGACCCCAGGGATTGCACCACCCGAGGCTTCTTCTGGTGCAAAAAACAAACAAACCCTCTCTCATTACTCTCTGTAACCTACAAAGGCAGTTAGTTAATGATTTATCAAGAGGTGCACATTAACTCTTTCACCACTTTTCACCAAATGCTCTGTAGCACAAAACAAAGCTGGTCTCCTCTGTACATTTCCATCATGTATAAACATCCACAAAAGCTCCCCCCTTCTTTTCTTGAAAAGTTCACCTCTGATCTCGTCTCCTCTTTATCAAAATGATTTCTGCCATGATGCATAAAGTACAAAATGACAGGGTCGCTGGCCCGCAGCATAACAGATCACTACTCCTCTGACATCTCACCTTGTTCCTTGGCTTGGGCCCTCTCTTCTTGTGTGGTCTGGGGGCCAGTTGAGTCTCAGAGCTCGTCCTGGCAGGGCTCTGCGGTGCTCCATTTACTGCTGCCGCTGCCGCCGCAGCCTCGGCCGCCGCCTTCAACAAAGCAATAGTCTGGGATTTGGGACGGCGACCTCGGACTCCTTTTCGAACGGGGAGGGGTGGCAAGGGGTTGGGGAGTCGGTACGAGGTCTGCATGGAGGAGGAGGAGGTGAACGAGGACCGACGTGTTGTAAAGGAGGCAGAGGTGGAAGAAACAGGGGCAAGGAGTGCTCCAGGGAGGGTAACTGTAAAAATAGGACAAAGGAGGGAGAAAGAGAGGGAGAGATAAATAATATATAGTTTTTCTTCCTGTATTTTCCTGCATTTAAAATAATAAGAGAGAAAGATGACGTGAGAATCAACAGGCACCAAACAATATGTAACATTTCATTCTCACACCTAAGGGACAGTATTTAAGGGGTTTGTCCAGTGTTTACTTTTTCTTTTTTTTTTTAAATGATAAAGACATTTGAGAAGAAAGAAGTAACACAGAGGAGAATGATTCACTGGCCCTGCAGAAGAGATTTGTGGATTGTGAGATTGGCAGCTCCTTTGTATCAAACCCCTCCCTGCACCGAAATCAGAGTCAAAAGTCACGAGCCCCCAGAGACCTGCCTGCTCGAGAATTCATCAAACCCTCAGCTTCCAGCAACACAACAGAAACACTAGTTATGATGATCCGATTTAAACCTTTTCTCAAACAGCAAGATATTGGATCCTTGGGCCTGATTCCCAATAAACCTACAATATGAATATTAAATGTAATTTCTTACATCAGTATCAGACATTCTGCTCTGTCTTGTTCATGATTTCAAACACCAAGCACTTTGAGTGGCCAAGACAAGAAAATCATATGAATAGACTGTACCTGAGCGTTTTAAATCTTTGGTTGAACTGAACTGAATGTATTTTGTTAGTCAGGGTTTCGATGTTTATGTGAATAATCAATAGAAACTTATAATATAGATAAAAGTAATATATTCTTTGATTTGGATCTGCACCAAACTCATAAATATCAGTTACATGTCCTTTTTTTTTTTATAATCAAGATCCATGAATTATTCTCTGAGAAATCAACAAACATGCTGAAAAAGTGAAAAAAAAATCCTGGATCTGTCCCCTGATTTAGATCCGAACCAACATGTAGCGTTTTTTACTTGAGTCATGTCCCACCCATGCAGAAAATGTCAAGGAAGTCGGTCGAGTACTTTTTCGCGGAACTAACCAACAAGACAAAGGCATACCCTCATTGCGGAGGTAAAGAAATCTAGCAACCCTACATGAAGGCACTGTTCTGATTCCAGATAACCTCCAACTTAAAGACTTGGCTCTGGAAATTAAGAGGATTCTAAAATGTCAATCAGCTTAAGGATTCAAATGTAAAGAAAGTGAAAATAAAGTGTGAAAAGGAAATACCCATTGTTCAGAAGAAAGAAAAAATAAATCACAAAGCAGTGGCCCCACCATGCTGCCGCTGTCTTCATTAGCCTGAGCGTGACTCTGTGATACCATCACACAATCATCATGGGGAATGTGTGAAAGACGGTGAACGGAAATAAGAGAGAGAAAGGGTGGAAAAGAGAAAGATAACCATCTCCTATTTCAATACAAATGTATTGGCTGGGTGAGAGCATGTGGAAACTCTCAAGGGCCCGGGAGCTTTCATTAGAGCCTCCTTCACAGAGGCGATGTGGAGCGACTATGGAAGGTTTACAGTATTCTCCGAGGGCCGGCCGGGGCACCCTGAAAGCTGCTTAATTGGGAAATGAGTGAAAATGGGCGTAGAATAGAGCAGTGTTTTGTTTCAGAGGACGAGAGTTCATTTTCTCACCAGGAGCAGTCACACAAAGCATGCTCACAGAGGAGCGGCAGCACCAACCTGCCTGCACACTGACACACTTATTCACACTGAGCTGGAAGCCATAAGCTCTACAAAGGCAGATCAAAATTTGTTTGCAGGGTACCAATCAGTATCAGTGGGTTTTAACGCACCCAGGGAATCTGAGTCAGGGGCCTCTTTGATCTGCTCCTGTTGTAAAGAGGAAAATCTAATCCCTTCACATTATGTGACAGCAACATGCACCATTTCCACCTCACTGATAAATGTCATATTCCACCATATATTAGTTTAGCATCACTTCAATGTAAAAAACACTAATCACTTCTGAATTTTAACTTCCAAAGAAGAGCTGCTTATGAACTAATTTTATTCCACACTGTCCGACTTATATTCTGCATGAGCTTTATTGAAGTTATATGATGTCGACACAGGGTGACTTATTTAAGACTAGAACGTTGTGTTTCTTAATGGATGCACCATTTCTTCAACTGGAACTATTTAAAATGTGTTGTTTGTCGTTTTATACACTGTTTCCCCTGAAATACAGCCTCACAATTGGTAGCTATGGAAACTTTCTCCTTGTGAGTCTCAATAAAAGCTGAATGTTCAACTGTAATTCACTAAATGTGAGGATAGATTATGAAACTTAACTCTAACCATCAGGGTCAGGAAAGAACTTTTTGGCGTGGATCTGGATCTGGAGTACCGGTCCAGGATTTATTTTTCTACTTTACTTTCTTTAACATTGCAAATAATACATTTTCATTGATTTCTCAGAGAATAAGTCTTGATCTTGATGAAAAAAGGTGTTTAGGGGACTGATTGTGTGTGCAATTTGGTGCAGATCCAATACTGAATTTAAATGTGGTTTCATTAGAGACCAAAGTTTTCAAATTGCTTCTTTCTTCTGGACCAGCCAAAATAATTACGTAAATGTAAAATGACACAGAACAGAGAAAAGCAGCAAATCAAAGCTAGAATCAGAAAAAGTCTGGTATCTTTGCTCAAACAATTATTTACTTAATCATCAAAACACAGAAACATGATTTGCACAATAGAGTAAAACATGTGGATAACTTTGTATAAATCTACATCATTCATATAAACTGCAAACTTTATATGAATGATTCGATTTTCCCCCCAAAAAAGCTCAAAAACGGGAGTAAGGAATCCAGCATGCAACAAAACAAAGACATATGGTACTGATCATGACGATATAATTCCAACTCGACCCAATGACCTGCGTAAGCCACAGCCCGAGGAAACGTGTGTGTGTGTGTGCGTGCGTGCGTGCGTGCGTGCGTGTGTCACTGTGCGTGATATGAGTGTGTGTGTGTGTGTTATGCACGCATGAGAACGGGGTCATAGAGAAGTGTGTCTGCAGTCTGGGGGTGATGGGGGAGGGGCACCACAGAGTTGCCTCTCATCTAATTACACCCCCCAACACACACACATATATACATACACACACACACCCCTACATGGTGAGCAGCCTCAATGGAAACCGTCCACACACACACACAGGATGTTCTTTGAGAAGATCTAAAGCAGTATGACACTCATGAACTGCAGATTCAGGTGTGTGTGTGTGTGTGTGTGTGTGCGTGTGTGTGCGTGTGTGTGTGTGATTGCACACTAGATAACAGAGGAGGGAAGTGACTTAAACAGCTTCAGGCCACAGAGTAAAACCACAACAATAGTCCCTGCGCAAATTCTCAAGCCTTAAAGCACATACACACAACAAACTAAATAAAGTCCCGGCTGTGACTCGTGTGAACGTTGAACATCACTTGACAGATGCATTAAATTAGTGTAGTGAAAATATTTGATATCCACTTATCCTCTCCTGAGTCTTGAGCAAACTAATTCCCAAAGCTTTACACACAAAAATCACATGATCAAAAACACATGCAGCCCTGAACTTCATTACCGCAGAGAATACTGTGAGTTCTTCAGTCTCTCTGAGTGGCCACTGGTCTCTTTACAGTGAATCTGAATAAATGCAAGTCAATCTACAAAAACAAAGAAACAATGATTTGCAGTCAGCGAGGAGGAGGCGGCTGCACTACGAACAACTAAAGCATGTTTATCCCTCACTTTACTTTTTCTTGCTTTACCGAGACAATAAAATTTACTTTTTGTATAAAATGTTAAAAGTACCAAACATAAACAAACTAGTTTTAAGACATGACAACTTCCTGAATTGACAACTTGACTTAATGGACTTGAGTATGTGCAGTTTTCACT